CTCACGGGGGTTTAGGTCCTGCTTACACCTAGGTGCTGGGGGCTGGCTTTGCAGGGTCCTGTGCAAGGACAGGAGACTTGGCTTTGGGATCGTGGGAGGTAGAACTTGCAAAAGAGGTCCCCTTCGTAAAGCTGGATCCTCTAACAGGTGTAAAGTCTATGACAAAAGGCCAAGAAAACCCTGCTGTAGGCCTTAGGAAGTGATGAGAAAGCTTGCTAGGGCTTTGGGTAAAATGAAAAAAAAAAATATATATATATATATACACACACACACGCTAGAGAAATTATCCCCAGGCCTGTGATAAGCACTGGTTTGAGGCCTTGATATTTGTTATCCACCTAGAGTGTGAGCCACACACTGAGGAATTACATAAGAACTGGTCTGGGGCCCTGGACATTCCTAGTAACTTGCCAGAAGCAAATGCAAAACGGTTCTCCATAAATTTCCCCCATGGTCTAGGTCAGATGGGACCATCACAGGGAAACAATTGTAAAACATCAATGAAACTGTACAGAGAGGAGGACATAAGACAAGTACACGTTCCTTATCAGCAGGCACAATAAGAAAAGTCACATCCCAAGAATTGTAGATAGCGAAATAAGGTAAAAGATAATAAAACAAGTGTGCCAAAAATATTAAATGAGCTAAAAAAAAAAAGGGAGGGGGGAGAGAAACCCTCATGAAAAGAACAGTATGAGAAAAACAGGAGGGTTTTCTAAAAAATCAAATCTTTAAGGACTTAGCAACTAGTCTCCAGTATGAACAAGTCAATGGAAAAGTTAACAGCAGAACAGAGAGAGTTGAGTTAGTGAGGTAGAAGGTGGCCCCCCAAAAGTACCCAAAAGTCCACGAAGAGAGAGAAAAGGAAGAATAACTATGAGATGAAGAGATGTAGGGGAGAGTAAGAAACTCCAGCATGTATCTACTGAAAGTCTAGAGCAGACTCGCAAAGATGGTGGAGAAGCACCCCTGAAGAAGATAATAAAGGAGAGCACTAGAAACTAAAGAAATAGATGAAAGCACCACTTAAAGGAGCACAGGTACTCCCAAGCTGATGGCCCCAAACCGTTTGCAGTGCGGGGTCCTTGCAGACACTGCTGTGAACGTGTGTCGGTGTGCCCAGGAGTGCACGCACGCAGGGCTGGGGTGCTGTGGGGGTACGCGGTCCAACCACCATCCACCGCGCCTTTGCAGACCCAGTGTGGGGATCTCCGAACCTAATCTGTGGGTCCTGTGACCCTGCTGTATGACTGCAGCACACAGGGCCCAACGGTTTGTTTACCTGGAGAGCATGTCAGGAGCATCTGTGTGCAGTGTCCACACCTCCCCCAGCTCCCACTGTCTCTGGGTGCTGGTCGTTGCCGTGTTACTTCGATGAACACTGAATGGTGGAATCACACATGTCCGTGCCTATTCCCCCTTCCATTCTCCCTGACCACATTCTCTGCCTCTGTGTCTCTTAGGATCACATCTGTACTCACATTCCTCTATTAGGTTTGACTCTCCCAGGAGAGCAGGATTCCTGAGTACCTTCAGGGCTGAAGATCCTGCTTCCCTTACCCTAACCTACTTCCCAGACTTCGTCCCCCACCACACCTCCCCAGCACATTCAGGGACTCCCTAGGCGTAATATGAGGGAAGGTGCAAAGTACAGGGCAAAGAACATGGTATTTGGGAAGAAGACACCCGAGTTATGGTCCTAGAGTCAATATTTACAAGCCGGTGAAACTTAGTGAAAACCTCTGTACTTAAATTGTTTTGCCCAGCAATAAAATGTGAATTAATACCACCTATCTTCATTCTTTTGAAAAATATTTGAGTGCCTAAACTGTCCCAGGGATGATTCCAGGTGCTGAAGACAGCAGGGAAAAAAACCAGTAAGATACCTTTTGGGGTCTTTACCAGGATTAAATAAGACCCTGCTACAAAGGGCTTAGAATGCTTGCAGACTTAGAAAATGTGCTCAGCAATGTTTTTGCTTTATAAATATTTATTGAGTACCTACGATGTTGCAGTCGGTATTGTAGCCACTGAGGATATGGTATTGAGCAAGACCAGGGGCAAGAGGTGAGAAAATAAACAAGCAAAATAAAGGAGTCCTTTAATTTCAGAAAGCCATATGCTTGCATGATTCACATGAAAACAGTAAGAGCAAACAAAAGTACCATGGAGATCAATGGGGAAGTTTTATTTCAGAAACTTAACCCAAGCCAGCCACTTCAACGGTAATGCCAGGTGTGGGGAGACAGCTAAGGAAAGCAGCAAACGGTGACATAGCCCACGGGGCACAGCCTGAAGCCTGCAGGATTATCAATGGTAAGCAGCATCTCTTACTCCCACTGGGAATGGGGTTCTGGTAAAGCCCTCAGATCCTGGGCTTCTGATAATGACTCCAGAACCAGTCTTATTTGTGGCTATTCTTAGTCAAATCATCTGTAATTCTTTGATTCTCCTCCAACCTTACTCCCATCTTAGACATTTCGACTCCCTGCTCTACTGTGATGACCTGGGGTTACAGACCCACAAGGTTGAAAGAAATCACAGCAGTCATCTCATTTCCACCACCTCGCAGTAGGAGGTGCACCCTCAGAAGGCAGCCCTGAGGAAAAGAAGTTCTGGACCGGGACTCAGCAGACTACAGTTGGAGGGCTGGCCCACGTCCACTTTGGTCGGTCTGTTTACTGACCCATTAGAGGTAATGATCCTTATCTCTAGCAGTTGCGCTGGGGAGTAAGCAAAATGGCCTATGTGAAAGCTCTTTGGGAACCCAAAATGCTCTACAAGTGAGGGCAGGATTGATCTAGGGGCACGGATGGCAGCCAGCTCCTGGCACCGGGGGAGTGCTGTGGCCCCTTCTCCTGAGGAGACCTGTGCCCTGCTTTTGTGAGCCCACCATGTGGGACCTAGCCTTGTTCCCAGGGGTCCTTCTGTGACTCAGTGAGTCTCTTCCCGAAGGAAGTGGCTAAAGTGGTCATGGCTAAAAGTATCTGCCTCAACTGACCTTTGGAAAATTCGTTGGTGTATCTCCTCTATAACCCCAACATCTGAAGATTATACCTCCTGGCTTTTGTTTCTGATTAGAAAAAAAGCAAACAACAACAACAACAACAACAACAACAAACCAGTTCTTGTCTTTAGTCTGAAAGGATGTTAGCCTTAGAAAATTTCAAGATGCAGATAAACTAAACAGAACCGTTCAAGTTTTACAGGAAGCTGGACATTTGGAGAATGCCAAGTGAGGCACTGTGCTGTGATTTGTAAACTGTTGTCCTTTTCACTTCTGCCCCCCAGCCCCCCCTCCTATCCGGGCCTCCAGCAAGTTCATATCTTAATTTAATCACCAACCCCTTACTTGTAGCAAAAGTAATTTTTCTATGTGACCTCAAAGTGTTTTGGGGCCACATTGAGCACACCGAGGAGGACCAGACACAGCCTCCTCTCTCCAGGACCCTCCCTGCACCCTGGCGGCTCCACGGGGGACTGTAGAGGGCTGGCAGAGAGACAGAGCTTGCCCGCCATCGTAATTACCGACTGCTGTGTGCGGGGGAGTGAGGGGGAGGTGACCAAGCTGGTAGTACGAGAGCAGTCCCGTTAGGGCTGACCAGTCTGCCTTTGCTCACACAGGGAGATCTGGGAAGACCCCCTGAAAAAGCGACCTTTAAGCCGAGATCCAAGTGGAAATAACAAGGCATCAGAAGCAGGTCAGGGGAGGAGAGGTCCTAGAGCTTTCCAAGCAAAGGGAACTTTGTGCAAAGATGTAGGGCAGGAAGAAGATTTGCATGTTGGAGGAACTGAAAGCCTTGTGGCTAGGCGAAGGCACAGAGCAGGGGAGACTAGGGTGGGAGGGAGACAGCAGGGGACCAAGGTCAGGTCAGGTCAGGCATAATCCCATAGGCCCATCAGTCTCTGTGGTCTCTATCCTAGGAAACCTATTTGAGAAGATGCAGAAGGTTAGGGGGCGGTGGAGGTGGAAATGTAGAGAAGGGGACACATTCAAGAGATGTTTCCAGGGGCGCCTGGGTGGCTCAGTCGTTAAGCGTCTGCCTTCGGCTCAGGTCATGATCCCGGGGTCCTGGGATCGAGCCCCGCATCGGGCTCCCTGCTCCGCAGGAAGCCTGCTTCTCCCTCTCCCACTTCCCCCTGCTCGTGTTCCCTCTCTCGCTGTGTCTCTCTCTGTCAAATAAATAAATAAAATCTTAAAAAAAAAAAAAAAAGAGATGTTTCCAAAGAGATGGACTAGAGGAGTTGCCCAGGATTTGGATAAAAGGAGTGCGGGGAAGGGAGGTGTCAGGGTGCCATCCAGGTTCTGACCGGCCAAAGAGGGGCATCCAATGTTCTGGACCGCACTGTCTGGATGCTCATCATCAATGTGAGCCGTGCGGCCAGGCTGTCCGGTGCACACCACAATGTGGTCTCATTCTTCCAGCACAGAGGCTCACATCTGGAGAGTGACTGAGTGGGTAGCTGAAGGAGGGAGGGAGCAGGCAGAGAGGCAGGCGGGCTGAGCAGAGGCCCCGTGGGAGGTGCACCAGGAGCTGGGGGAGGAGAGCAGGGACACTGATGGGGGGACAGAGGGACTGGGGACGCTGAGGTGGGTAAGGATAACGGTCAGAGGCTGGAGCGGGAGCATGGGGGCAGGGGGATCAGAGATTGTGGGGGGGGGGGGGCGGGGAGATCAGAGATTGGAGGGGGAGCATGGGGGCAGGGGGATCAGACTTTTGAGGGACGGGGAGGGAGGATGGGGGCAGGGGTATCGGAGATTGGCGGGGGGGGGCGATGGGGGGGGGGTCGAGGGAGGAGGGGGGCGGTTTTGGGGGGAGGGGGATCAGAGATGCGAGAGGAGGAGGCAGTTGGAGGTGGGAGGGACGGGGGCGGGGCGATCCGAGATCCTCCAGGCGGTGTGGCAGGCGGGGACCTCCGGAGTCCGACCCCGGCGCCCTCAGGTGGCCACAGTCTCCGCTGCTCTGGGGGCGCCCCCAGGTTCGGGGAAGCCCTGGGGGATGCGTGGGGCGGCGCGAGCCGGGGGCGCCGGAGACCGGGCGCGGCCCCCGGTCCGGAGCGCGTGCGGCTGGTGGCTGCTTGTTGTTTGGTCGCTGCGGCTGGCCTCGGGCGGGCTGTGCGCCCCGCGGACGCGCGGCAGGCTGCAGTGCCTGCAGGTGTCGGTGTTCGCCAACCGCAGCCGGGCGCGCACCGACGGCCTGGCGCGGCTCGGGGAGCTGCAGGTCTACGGCTGGAGAAACGGCTCGGACTCCATCCGCTTCCTCAAGCCCTGGGCGCGGGGCCCGTTCGGCGAGGGGCAGTGGGACGAGCTGCAGCGGCTACTCAGTGTGTACCGTGGAAGCTTCACCAGGGACATGCACGAATTCGTCAAAATGCTGCGCCTGGCCTGTGAGCTGGGGGTGGGACCCTGGGCCGCTGCCCGGCGGGGGCTTTGCCTCCCCCTCTGCCGGAGATGCCCAGCTCGCGCCTCCGTCTCCGGATCCCCGCTTCTGCCCTGGCACTCCCCAACTCCGACCCCGCAAACTGCCCCCGTTCCTCCAGCTGCTGGTCCCCCGCTCGTCTCCCGGGACTCTGGGTCCCCAGTAGAACCCTGATACGCATTTCCCCTCCGCGGTCCCTTCTAATCCTTTCGGCCTTTCTTTGGTCTTTGTTCCGTCCTCTTCTCAGATCCCTTTGAGATCCAGGTGTCTGCTGGCTGCGAGCTGCGCCCCGGGAACACCTCCGAAAGCTTCTTTCACGCAGCATTTCAAGGAAAAGAGATCATGAGTTTCCAAGGAACTGTTTGGGTGCCAGCCCCAGATGCCCCCTACTGGGTGGGCAGGGCCGCCAAAGAGCTCAACCAGGACCAGGGGACCAGAAAGACCCTACAGTGGCTCCTCAATGACACCTGCCCCCAGTTTGTCAGAGGCCTCCTTGAGGCAGGGAAGTCGGAACTGGAGAAGCAAGGTGAGCCTGCCTCTCTCACCCCTGCCTTCCACTCCCGCCCTCCGGCTGGGGCTCCCCGTTGCAGACTTCACAGCCCTTGGCTCACCCCCGGGGGAGAATGGCTCAGGAAGGCATGGGTGAAGCCTGAGGGTATTTATTCATCCCACAGACATTAACCAAGCCCCCCTTGGGTTCCATGAATTGAATTAAATAAACACTGGGGGTCAAACAGGATCTCTGCTGAGGGGAGGGGGTCAGGGAAGGTTTTCCTGGGGAAGCCAACACGAACGGACAGTCATGAGGGATTCCATCTCCAGAGGGGGAAGTGTGGGCTGCCGAGTTCCTGCCTTGAGATGCCCCACTTCCTCATCCGACACAGTGAGGCCGGAGGTCTGGCTGTCCACTGGCCCCACGCCCGGTCCTGGCCGTCTGCTGCTGGTGTGCCACGTCTCCGGCTTCCACCCAAAGCCTGTGTGGGTGATGTGGATGCGGGGTGAGCAGGAGCAGCGGGGCACCCAGCAAGGCGACATCCTGCCCCATGCTGATGAGACGTGGTATCTCCGAGTGACCCTGGATGTGGCGGCCTGGGAGGCAGCTGGTCTGTCGTGCCGAGTGAGACACAGCAGTCTAGGGGGCCAGGACATAATCATCCACTGGGGTGAGAGAGAACTGGGGCCCGGCTGGGCATGGGGGAGATGGTCCTCAAGCATAGAGGGAGGCACTGGCCATGAGGTGGGTTTGGACACACGCAGGATAGAGGAGTTTCCAAAATGAACCCCCCCAAACCAGGAGGGTTAGAAGGAGGGGGTTCCAGATACCAGAAGGAGGGAATGGAGGGGAACAAAGTCTGAACTCAAAAAGGGTTGAGATAAATGTCCCATATACAAGGAAAAAGAGACCAAACAATTCACAGGTCCAGAAGCAGGTGGCCAATAAAAAAATCCCAGGAGAGGTCACTCCCCATGAGAAGCCGGGGTTGGGGGGCAGGGGAACAAGGTAGTTGCTGGGTCTTGAGTGCTTCCTGACTCTGCTCAGCATGGTGTCCACTTGTCCCTGGCTCCTTTGAAACAGGTGCTATTCTTCTCATTTTATTGTTGAAGACACGGAGACTGAGCTAGGTCAGGTTCACTGCTCTTGGTCTCATGGGTGGAGAGTGGCTACCTGGTTGTCCTTGCTGTGTGTGTTATACCACCGTGTGTTGAGGTGAAGGTGTTCCCGGCGCCCAGGCCCTGAGACAAGAGGGGGCCTCGAAACTGCAGAGGAACAGAAGTGGGCATTCCCCGTGGGGGAGGCAGTGAGAAGCACCTGTGGCATCCTCCCATGGGCTCAGACCAAGGACCTTGGAATAGGGAGGGGTCCTGTGCTGACAGCCTGTGTTTCTCACGCAGAGGGGAGCCACTCCTCCATGTGGCTGATGCTTGTGGCTTTGCTGGGGTCCTTACTGATGATTGGATGCTTAGCCCTCTGGTATAGGAGGCGCCGGTAGGTCTCCCCTTCCCGACCCCTCCTTCCTTCAGCCTCTCCTCATTTCCTGGCCCCTCCAGCCCCTCTCCCCTTTCCCTTAATGTTCTCTCCCTTCCTACACCCTCTCAGCTCCTATCAAGGCATCCTGTGACTTTGCTTGCCTCACCTGTCTGGGACTCAGGATCCCAAGTGCCCAGGACGTCAGCTCAGCAGCTGAGGGTGAAAGGAAAGGTGCCTTGAAGAATCAGACAACAGTCACAGAACAGTTCTCATCATGTCCTTTTCACATTTCATGTAAGAAGATTGAAGTTCTTCTTCAGTATAGTGCAAGTTTATAAGCCCCCATGGTTCTATAAAAATAGATGTGCAAACTTCCAGGGACAAGCAGATACAAGCTGGGGTGTAAGGTTGTGCGTGGTCACTGGATGGTGCAGTCTGCAGTGAATTGGGAAGTGATTGCTCCTGAGGAAGCAGGTCCAGCTGCTTGCTGTCAAGGATAAAGGGAGACCTACCAAAAAATGAATGAATTTCTAAAATAAGACCCTGGCTTGGCTGTAGCCTACATTTTTCAAGAAAAGTGGACGTCTAGATTTTTGTGTGAACATGCCTGATACTAAAATGTGCACTCAAGCTTTTACAAACTGTTTGGGACACCCCAGATACATCTCTGCTTCTCGATGGCAGTGTGGGGGCTCCTTGGATAAAAGTTTGTCCTGAGGGCGCCTGGGTGGCTCAGATGGTTGGGCGTCTGCCTTCGGCTCGGGTCATGATCCCAGGGTCCTGGGATCGAGTCCCGCATCGGGCTCCCTGCTCCTTGGGAGCCTGCTTCTCCCTCTGCTTCTCTCCCCCCCCCCTCTCCCTCTGTCTCTCATGAATAAAAATAAAATTAAATTAAATTAAAAAAAAAAAAGTTTGTCCTGAATGACAAATTGGTAGTTTTAGGGCATAGTTTCTTTTGTGAATTTGGACTTATAAAGCGGGGGGGGCGTTTTCTTCTTTAAAAGAAAATTAGGTTGTAAGAAACAGGTTTCTCAAGATTTTATTTGGTACAACTGATTTATAAGGAGAAATCATAGTGTACGTGTATTAGGTAGAAAAAAAAGTTACTCTGGGTAGGGATATTTCTCCCAAATGGCCAGTCACTTTTTTCAGATTGGAGGAAGTCAGTCATGAAGGTGTCCCCGCAAACAGGCTCCCCCATTTACAGCTATTAAGTGAGACAATGCTCAGGAAGGGGGTGAACCCACTTGGGCAGGTGTGAGCTGCCCTGATCAGCACCCAGCTGTTTGCTCTGTTCCTAGTTAAGGATCCTTGAACATCCAGAAGAAATGGAACTAAACTTTCAGAGAGTCTTTGCTTAAGAAAATTAAGATTTGACATCTTGTATGCTGAACTTTCTGGTTGAGCCTCAGATGTGGGTGAAGATCTTGCCAGCTCCTAAATTGGTGACTCCCAATTGTGATCTCCTGACCAGCAGCCTCAACACCACTGGGGACTTGCACATTGTTCTGGACCCCATCTCGGACCTCCTAAATAAGAAATGGGAGTGGGGCCCCCTGTAATCTGTGTTTGAACAAGCCCTTAGGTGGATCTGGTGTTCAGCCGCTGTGCTTTGGGTCATGCGGTGCTACAAATTCCTCAGAATGATTGTAAGTGAAAATATTGGCCTGGGATTAGTCAGGGAAGGCTTCCTGGAAGGGGCATCTGACACAGGACTTGTACAGGTAGTGAGGGGAACCAGCAAGTGCACTGGGTCAGGAGACCAGAGTTTTGGCCTTGGACTCAGTGTCTTCCTGTGTGAAGTGGAACCAGGAAGCAGATCCTCAGAGCAGCCGCAAACCTGCCAGTGCCTCGGTCTTGGACTGCCAGCCTCCAGACCCGTGAGAGATACATTTCCCTTGTTTATAAGACACCCCTCCCAAGGCATTTTGTAAATGCAGCCTGAATGGGTTAGGACAGATTATCTCGCGGAGGGTGGGGAGCAAATGTACGACTGTGTGGCTGTCTATGATGCCTTCAAACCAGGGGCCCAATACTGCCCCCAGGCAGGCCATGCGGTTCAGCTTGGCTTCCTCTGGCTGCGCCAAGGCTCTGAACCCGTCCTACCGGCCGGCTGCGTTCTTAGGGCATGTGTGTTAAAAGCCTTTCTGAAGTCTTTTTGGAAATGCGTGAGCATGAGTTTATAGAAACTCTGGTTCATTTTAAAGAAATTGATTTATTTTGGAAATAAAGTCCTATCTCTGGGAAAATCTGTCTTGTCTTCACATCCTTAGCTTAGAACACCTCAGGAAGCCCTGAGAATTCATTTTAGACTGTTGATATTCTCTTTGTGAATGTCACATTCCTCATTGGGTGCGGGGCTGCTCGTCAGTGCGTTGTCACTGGGCTCCAGATTCGTCCTTCGGTGCCCCGTTCCCTCTGCAGACCCTTGCGTGGCCTGTGCTCAGTCTGCCTGCTGCCTGGAGGGTCCCCCTGAGCTGCACCGTCTGCAAACCCCGGGCTGAGGTCTGCAGAATTGCTTCCAGCTTGTCCAGTGACTGCAGGCCAGCTCCGGCCTGGACGAGCCTGCGAACTTCTCTGCTACACCTTCTCCGATGAGGAGGCTGCTATACTCCAGCCCTGGGGAAGGGTTACCTTTCCAGGCGTATGCCCCCTTGCATATTCTCGCCCAGCCCTGGAGTTTTATGTAGAGTTTTCTTTCATCTTAGTTATTTTCTTATTAGAGTTTACTAATTCTACTCAACTTCCTCTGATTGGACTCAGGTAGACGCACACAGGTGTATCTGTGACCCTACAGAGGCATTGGTGAGCTTTCCGAGGCTATCACTCAAATTTACTTCTGCTCTTAAGTCTGTGGCATAGACTTGATCCACTTTGCAATGAGCTGTAGCCTTTCCTCCCAGAGCTTCGATTTGTTGTTCTTTGCCAGGCCATCCTCAGAAGTTTAGGGTGTAATTGAGAGGGGTGCTGTTAATAATCCAGCCAGGACAGGTGTAACCTGGGACAGACTCTCTGGTGACTGTTTGCTGTTTGTGCTGTGCTGGGGCACGGCCCTGGCTCCTAGGCACCTGCTGCTGGGCCGGTGTCCCGAGGCCACGCGTACCTTCTGTCCACTCCCCAGGCTCTCCTGTCCCCTCGGTCTTCCCTTGGCTTCTGTGCTCACTATCATGCCTCACACTCAGCACGGCTCCTGCTCGGCGATGTGGCACGGGAGAGGCTGTACCCTCTTCAGCTTCTTTTTCTGAACTCAGGCTGGGTTTTCCCATGGCTTGTATTCTTCTTTTGCTGATTCTATTGAACCATCCCTAGAGGGGTTCTTCCACATTTTTGTGCCCTGGCTTTTCACCCTGCATCTAACCATCTTTCCTATTTTCTTGTGAAAGTTGGGATTATCTGGGGATGATTCCCACATCTTCCTCCTTCCTGGCTCGCAGGGTGAGTGATTTTCCAGTCATCACCATCTGCAGAGAGATGTCTGTCTTTGCTAAGCTGGACCCTTCCCTCTGGGCTTTGCTTGGCACAGCCTCGGAGCTTGTGCCCCGTGTCTCGCCACCCACAGGCTCCCCACCTTTAGCACGCCAGTGTTCACAGACAGCCGGTGACGTTTACAACACAAGCACAAAAATTTTGCCTGTGGGCAAAATCTCCTCTTTTTGAAAATTCCTGAAGTTATGTATCTGGATAATATTTAACATTTTAACATATGTCTTTATTCCTTTCCTTGAAACTTTATTTTTCATTCTTATCCATGTGAGATACCCACGCATTTCTGTGTGCCTCGGGGGAAGAATGTAGCAGAATAGAAGACAGAAACTCTGGGTTGTATTTCCAAATGTTCAGTGATGGCAGATGGGATGTCAAGGCTTAAACAGAACATCCTCACAAAACAGGAAGATCTTCCCAAGCCAGAGCAGGATGTTTCTCCCGGACGGAGAGGTGTGTAGGGGCTCTAACTGCAGATGACACCTGTCCCCTCCTGTCTGGCAGCACTCCCAGGGTGGGAGCAGGCTCCCAGAAAGAATGCCCAGGTGGCACTCCTGGGCAGTGGAGTACGGTAAGCTGAACAAAACTCCCATGCTCATGATTGTGGCACAGAAATGTTGGGAAGGATACTGGATCTGAGAGGCTGGGCAGGAAGTGAGGTGAGTATCTGAGCAGTGATCTGTGTGGTTCAGTGAACGAGCACCAGGGGCTGTGGGATTGGAGTCAGGACTCTGGGGACTGGGGGCAGAAACCGGGGAAAGCTAAGGTTATGTCTCCCCCACCACAGAATGGAGCGATGCTCAGACTTAGAAGTTAGAGGTTAACCAAAAGAAACTGAAGAAAGTACTATTTCTTGCTCAGTGAACTTACAGTCTAAGATTTACACCAGTTACCTGTGGGTTGCTAAGCATCGTCTGCATCCTTCATAAATGATCACCCTTAGCCCTGGAGCCAATGCATGTTTAGACACTCGCTGGGACTGTGCTGGAAAATTTATTTGAAGCCCTTAGATGGACACAGAATTTAATACTGATTCTGAAATCCCTGTGGGTTATGAGGAGATCAGTGTGAAAGATGGCTGCAGAGTGATGCATCATTGGCAAGTGGACACATGGTGGCCGTCGGATAGAAGAAACCGAGGGTTGTATGTGCTATGGTGAGCACTGTGAATTGTGCAAGACTGTTGAATCACAGATCTGTACCTCTGAAACAAATAATGCAATATATGTTAAGAAAAAAAAAAGAAGAAG